GCAGCACATTGCCGACAGCACAAGCGACCGCAGTCGCCGTCACTTGTCGGCAGCTATCCGTCGACGTGCCCGCAGCAAGCTGTCGACAAGTCGACAGCTTGCTGCGGCGACCGTGTCGGCGTACGTCTTTGTACAGGAGCCAGTTGAAAATTTTGTGTTTCTTCAATGAAATTATTTGTACAGGATTTCATTGAAGAAACACTGTGGTTGATTTTACTCCGTCGTCGTCGACGAAAGAGAAAGAACCGGTCATTGTGGGTTGAAGAAATGTTATTGAATAGAGAACGAGACGGCCTTTTTTTTCAGTTTATCCAATTGCAAAAGAGCAGCACATTGACGACAGCAAAAGCGACCGCAGTCGCCGTCACTTGTCGGCAGCTAGCCGTCAACGTGCCCGCAGCAAGCTGTCGATACATTGACGTCTGCCGTCGACGTGTCGACAGCTTGCTGCGACGACCGTGTCGGCGTACGTCTTTGTACAGGAGCCAGTTGAATGAAAATGGATTGCATTGAAGAAACACTGTTGTTGCTTTTACTCCGTCGTCGTCGACGAAAGAGAAAGAACCGGTCATTGTGGGTTTAAGAAATGTTATTGAATAGAGAACGAGACTACACACACCGACGCCCATGCTCTATTTTTTAATGTTTTATTATGGTAGCCTTCTAAATTCGAGTTCCATATTATTTCATTGTTTTTGACAGCACAAATTTTTCAGCAATTCCGAATCAATTTGTTCGGAACTCATTAGGTGTGCGTGTAAGCTCCTGGACTACTGACAGTTGACCTTCAAAATGGCGGAGGCGGCTAGCTGTCACCAACTGCCGCACAGTGATTCGAGTAGAACAAGCTAGCTGGACAATATTATTTTTTTACTTAAATGGGTTTAATACACGAATTACTTACTTTTTTGTGCAATTTAAGATTAATTAGGCTTGTTATTATAATTATTATAGATAGGTTTGAAAAAAAAAATATTTTTTGTAATTAAATATTTATTTCCTAAAATCAAGAGAAACAGACTAAAAAGGAAAAAAGAAACTAACTTTACAGTATAATAATAATTGGTCTTATGATGTATTAGGTGTTAAAGTATGAAATTCCCGTTTTTTATGGAGAATTTAATGAAAATCAATTTTTCGATATAAACATTTTTGCGATTTATATGGAACAAAGAATCTCAGTTTTTTTTAATTTAGTGGGTAGACTGGGACAACATTAATGACTTGCCAAGTTGCTGTGGCCAGCAGACATTTGCGCTGCAGCTTCAGCAGCCAATATCAGTTCTCAAGTACTTCTTGAGGAAATGAAGTCTAAAAGTCTTCTTCTTTTCGTCTTTTTGCTGGACTCGTCGAACTCCTTGAGTGGTCGTCCAGGTGTAGAATCTTTCGACGTGGAAGGCTGAACTTTATGAACAGAAACATGTAACACTATGGCTCCGGGAATCCACTCAGTTTTGTTTTTCATGAAGCGTTCCCTGTTTTGCCGTATTTCGTCCATTGAAATGAAATTGAAATGCGACTGATGCTATTCTTCAACTCTCTCAGCGAATTTTCGTGATCCCAATACATCACATTTTGAGAATATAAATTAAAAATCATGCTATTCTGGTCACTTTTTCAATGTTTTAATCATTAATCAAAAAACTTGATTTTTTATTAATCTGAAAAAATAAAATTGTTGTGCAAAAGTGTGCAAACTGAAACTGGTATATTTGAATACTAGAGGGTTACAGCTACAATATATATAAATTCCAGACTGGGGTCAAGTGGGGGCATACAACTTCAAGTCTTCCAAATATAAAATTTTGAGAAAAATATAAAGGTCAACATTTCGCCATACTTTTTAAAACTATGTGCATTATTATGCACCTTATTGTACAGAAAATAAAAAGTACTTACCCTTATCTTCAAAATCCATCACACAAATATTTGGTCACCATAGTTAAAAATAATGTCAGGTGTTGTCGAAAGTCGAGCAAAATTAGGAATTAAAAATTACACTATCCTCATATCCTCACTTAACATGTTAATTACTCACGACTAGGTAATTAACAAAGTAAAAAATTGTGGAATCCTTAATGTCTGGGATATTGTTTATCGTTTTTTATAAACGATAATCAGAAATTCAACAATGACTTTTGTCCAGCTAGCTTGTTCTACACGAATCACAGTGTGCCGGCGGCAGCCGCGAACGCGTCGACAGCACGTCGGCAGCATGTCGACAGCTAGCCGTCGCCTTCTGATGTCGACTGCAGTTACATGCGTCGACAGCAAAATGTTGCAATTTCTTACAAAACATGCGTCAAAACAGCAAATCTAGTATGAAAATCATCAAACTTCTGATGCTCGTAACTCAGTTCAGACTGAGTTTAGAGGTATACATGTCATACTAAGTTTGGTTTATTACACTATTTTGTAATCAAAAAACAAGGTTTGGTCGATGGCCGCGCGAAAAAAAAAGACGCCAATTTCCGGCATTGTCTTTTGACCTTCTCTTGTTGGGTTTTTATTGGCGGTCAAGCTAAGCAAAAAGAAAACTTAATATTATTTATTTATGGGACATTTTAGACATCCTTCGATATTCCTGCAAAACAAACACTATTAGTGCTTGGATTATTAAAGAATCCATTTGAACAAATTTTTGATGTGTCATATACATATTAATAACAAATGTAACATTCATTATAAATGTATGAGTACACGATTTATTCTAACAAATACATTATATTCTACGAAACTTTGGGCGTAGAATGCAAATCAATCTAGAGATCTATCTGTAGACAATTAGGCTAATGTAGAACATATTCTTCGGAAATGGACGGCTACTAAGGCTTAGGCTTGTCTTGTCAAAGAAAGACACATTTTAAATAATTTAAAGTAAATCACATTGTAATAAAATTGTAAAACACCAACTTACAGTTACAAATTTCCATAAAAATATACCTTAGGGTTAAAGAGTTAATTATTTAAAAAAAATACCAAAATACGCTTAGGTAAGTTTGTACTTAGGTTCCTCATAGCAGTAATAAGGTTGCAGCGTATGAAATATGCATGTGGCAAGCACGTTTTCAGGATAAATTATAACGAAAGAATGTTATTTTCTGCAAATCTTTAACCCTAGTAATTTTATTACTAGAATCGGAAAATCTCGAAAACTGTCCATTTCCATTTAACTTAACGTGACTCTACAATATACAGAAAGAACAGAAGACAAGCTACATTAAATTAACTATCCGCAAAAAAGGTACAAATTTATGAATTTCTTTTTTAATTATTGTATTTTCGCCCAACAGAAATCAGCACTTAAAATGGGTGAAATCTCAAAGCATGATGTAGTTCTGGTTTTTAGTATGTTTTATAGACCAGCCAGTCAAGGTGTAAGTATCAATTCCAATTTTGCAACTTCGAAAAACTTGTGCTATCTATATGTATAGCACGTGAAAATCTACATAATTTTGGGAGTTTACACTTTTTGGTATGGATGGACCACATACGTAAGCTTGCATCTGTCTGTTCTCTCTGAATTTCATAGTATCGTCTTGTTAATCCTTTGTCGTGATTGACAAAAGGCAAGCAGAGCTATACTGTTTACGTTATAACTAAAAGTTAAGTTAATATTTGTATCCAGCTAAACATAATTATCCGTCTTAAAATTAACCTGATGACCAAATATAACTATATCAGATTACGCGAGCGTGACCAATTTTATTGATACATATTGTAAAAATTATTTAAGGCAGTTAAATTAGGTACCTATGTAAGTACTTATGACTATTTAGTTCAGAAACTGTTGATGTAGCAAATTAATCAGTTAGCTTACGGACTAAAATGGATACACTTGTACATATAAGGGATCCGATGCAACCGCATACGGATAGAAAATGACAAACACATCCACACAACCAACAAATAATAGTGCTTTTACAAAGACAAACAGCGTTATTAACAAAGTGCACATAAAACACATGGAGCCGCCGCCAGCCATACGATTCGATGTTACTATTCATCTTCACTGCACTCCGTCAAATTACACTTTATAAGGCACTGTCACAATAGATCACTACACTGTCACTTTTCCGGGATAGTTCCGCACTGCAATCCAAGTAAATCACTGCAATCCATGATATCCGTGAGGGTATGTAACAGAGGCGGCGGCGGCACCTATCAAGTGCGAAGACTAATTCCGAACAACATGCTTTTCATAAACTCCACGTGTTAGTTAAACCACGACAAGGCAATTAAGCAACTTAAAATCTATGTACGGTTCTAATATATTTTTACTTCATTACTTGAATTGACCGTACAAGCACCGACATCATTGCGTTACTGGCCAGTCGATAGGTCTTTTGCAGCAAAAGCAATGAAACGATAAAGCATTCCTAAAATGTATCTGCATGTTCCATGTTTGTAATTTATCTGAATGTTATGTGTAGATGTTTACAGTCAATTTAACAAAATATGGTGTGTTATCAAGTCACAGTAAACTAATGTGGTATTTGATTTTGAATTTGATGTGTCTGTATGCGAATCCCGTTTTAAGTGAAACTACATTTTTGCCTATTTGAAATTATACGGAAAATACAATTGAAGAACACACATTTAGATATTTATTTTTCCTATTATTCGACGAGACTTATGTGCTTCAATATGGCAATCAATCATTGACAACATTTTGGTTATTAATAGCGCTTGAATATCGTAACAAAATTCTTATTTCACACAATAGTTGAATAGTAGTTACATATAAAATATATGTATATTTAACGACTAACGTTGAATTATGTACTTTCCGTGTGTTTCTTTTTGTTCTTATTCTTGTTATGGTGTGCAATAAAGAGTTTTATTATTATGTATTTTTACTTGTGTTAATTCGCAAGGACATTAAAACTATTTATCGGTAAAAACATTTTTTATTTAAACAACAAATAAACAATTACCTAATTACAAACATGTGACACGCAGATTTACGTCGTAAGGCCAGCAAGAAAAAAGATACTCACGAAAGATGATAACGCGAGACGGTGGAGGGGGCCGGTGTGGAGTTCACGGAGGACGAAGATCCAGAGTAACCGGAGCCGGCGGGCGAAGAGCCGGCCGAGGGCGCGCCCGCTGCCGACGGGATCGCGGCCGGCTCGTAGTACTCGGTGGTGAGCGTGCGCTCGTCAAGTACGTGCTCCGCGTTGTGCGCCTTCGACGCCGACTTGATGTCCATGAAGGCGACAGTCGCGCAAACGCCACTACTTGGAGTCGCACTTGCGGTCGCAACTGTGCTTCCGCTCTCCGTTCTTCCCAGCAGCTTGACATTCTGGACTCGGCCATAGCTGAAAAATTTTATACATAAATACTCATGGCCAAAACGCGTTGATTAACAAACACACAGTGGGTAACATATTACAGGCAATTTATAACTTCGCATCATAAGAAAGTAAAAGAAATAAAAATAAAATTTACAGTCATACAAAAGAAGCAAAAAGCGAGCAAAGTGTATATTTAATACGGAAAGATTTTAGACTCATTAATTATAAGTAAGTAATCGTAAGTTTTAGAATCAATAGGTTATCAGCAGTCATTGATAAGTTGTCTTTTGGACATCATTAAAATGCAACGGCCACAGTTCTTCTACCATCGTATTTTATTCATTGCCTTAGTAAAAGAGACCTAAGCTCGTATTGTAAAAAAGGCTCAAAAATGAATTTACACACACAAGAAAAGATTCAAGTCTGTGATTGGGTGAATTTCAATATAATCTGGTCCAAACAGGCGGTTTCAATACTTTCAATCTATTCTTGAGTAGTCATATTTCGAGTTTCAAGGGGTGAATTTTATTTATACATTATTGAATAATTAAAATTAAAAACAAGTATCACGATGGTTTTAGAACTGTCGCAACAATCATAGTCATGTACATTTGTACAATGTAAGTGTTTGAAGTAAGTATTTTATTATCAGAGTTACAAATTTATAGAGACGAAATCAATCAAATCAAACCAGAAAAAAAAAAGAAAAAAAAGTCAAGAAGATGTAGTGAGATGATGACTTCCTTAAAATCTAAATCGCACAGACCCTTTATTGTATGTAAAGTTTATTTTCGAAAATGGGAGTATTTTTTTTTTAAAAGCTGCAACAATGCTATTTGAAACGTGGCCACGAATTTTAAGTCACAATGTATATGTATCATGATGACATGACATATTTTGAAACGCATACATAACAATGTAATGGACCGAGTGATTAATGAGGACAATGCTAAGACAGTATTATATTCCTATCAAAGAGACACAATAATTTTATCGATTTTTTGCCATTTTTTATTTGTATTAATGACTTAAGCCTGTCAAAAATGTTACGTAAAAGTGAATTTCATTTGTTTTTAAAGAAATTAATTAATAATCACTCGGTACACGAAACATACATTCATCTAATAAAATAAACATCAAATATGTCACGCAAAAAAAATTTTACAAACATGCAAACGTGTAACTATAAAAGCGGGGGTTAGGAATATTCATATTTCTCGTACCAATTTTGAATAAAATATAATGCCAATCGTAAGTTTAAAGTTTCAGTTATTGTAATTTGCATTGATGCAGTATGAGGAAGGGAAGAGGGTGCTGAGTAACTTAATGAGACCTCAAGGGTTCTTAATTTTTTGAACTTTTCCTTGTCTTTTTCTGGGGTGGCACATTTCCAGTGGTTAACTTTTTTTAGGAAGTTACCGTATAAAATCGTTCACTAATTAGTAGGGTGTGTGCACCAGTACCACATCAGGAACCAACGATACACCATTTCTTCAAAACAAAATATTATCGTAAAAAAGAGGCGAAAAATAAATATTTTTTCTTTCTTTCATAAATTTTACAAAAGGCATCTTTCGGTTTGAGGATTGAAATCGTATACTTCTGGTTGCTGGTAAGAGACTGGTGCACCCACCCTACTTAAATGTTGGCAAAATATACTGTTTTGAGGTTTAAATTATTATTAACTATTAAATAATCATTATTAAATACATCCAATACTTTTTCGCTTGCTCTCTAGTGTGCACTAGGAAGCATAAGTGCTCATATTGTACTTTAGTACGATTTCGTAAAAGGACTTTTCATAATAATACAGTGTGAGTCTGTGTGAGTCACGTTAAAGTGTACATATGAAAATAGATGAAACTAGACCTATTTTTATCGACAAAAAAGAGGTCAAAAATTTTTTGAGATTTTTAAAAAAAAAAATTATAGAATTTTTTATCTTCCAATTACTTATTGTAAAGAAAACGTAATAACTTTTAAACTAAGCGGTATATCCTGATAAAATAAAAACAGTAATAATGCTAAATAACAGGCAATACTAAAAAAATACATAAAATACCCAGAAAATGCCAACAAATAATAAAAAATGATACTTTTTGAAAAAAATCTGCTTAAAAATTCGTATTTTTTTGGTTATTTGATAAATTTCTCAAAAGAATGCCCCTATAACAGGTAGTTTTTATTACTTTTTATTATTTTCTATCGTATTATCTTTGTAAAACCAAAAATCTCATGTCTCTATCCCTATCACAACATTTGCTATGATCGTCTGAACTAAGCCTCTCCGGGCGCGCCATTCAACGCTTCGTTAAAAAAGTAAAAAAAAATCTCTAAAAAAATTTGACCTCTTTTTTGTCGATAAAAATAGGTCTAGTTTCATCTATTTTCATATGAACACTTTAACGTGACTCACACTGTATATGCTGCAATATGTGCATGATGCGAATATACCTAAAATTTAAAAAAGACATTACAACCAAATCAAAGAACTATTGATTTTATTTTTAGTACCTACATAAACCACTGTGAATGGGCCACCAACTTGGTTTAAATTTTAAACCGAAAGGAAGACATCTAAATGAACATTTATAGACGTTTTATGAGCAGAGAAAATATTACATTGATACATTGAGTAACAATGACACGAAACTTTTTACAATTCGTCGTTGTTACTCTATACAACAGTAAATATTATGATTATAATAATTACCTGTCCGTTGCTTTAGCTGCGAATGTTGTCCATTCATCACTAGATTTTGAACACATCTGACCGAACTAAACAAATTCATCAGCACGCAAATATAAATATTCGTCCCCAATTGGGTTAATAGGATTATTTAATGGAAGTGCATTTATTGTAGTCGAAGGCGAAATATAAATATATAAAACTTATAATGATATGCACCATTACATCTAGGCTTGGCTTATCATCAATGGAAACAAAAACAAGAAGTTAATATGTTTGTTTGAAGTCTACGCGTTGCTACTGCAGAACTCTACTTAACTACAGTATGTAACTAAGCAATTTTAATGTACTACATCTTACACCCATATTCCAAGACAGCAAGCCTAACAGAATTATTATTTAATGAAAAACTTGACTGATTAACCTTGCTTTACTTCCAATTCCAACTATTGAACCGCATGATATGAAATGAAATAAATACATAATAATATAATATAAAAGTTAATAATTAAACCTACTTTTTCTAATGAGCTGACATGACAACATACGGCTGCAAAAGTAAGTATGTATTTTTTTAATGAGGAAGAACTAAGAGAATCTACCTACCTATAACCGAAGTACTTTTGTGTGAAACAACTAAGAAGATGAGTATTGCAGACAAAGCAAACAAATTAACAATGCGTTATTTTATAATTGCGTGAGTATATAATTAACAGACTATAACTGACAAGATGTACAGTTAGTATATTGCGATAGAAAAATTAACACAGCCCAATTAATTACATTCATACTTTGTTGAGTAAATATTATTTCAAAACAAACTTTATTCATGCGAATTACATGTTAATTTAGTAGCAAGTCACAGAGTACACACTAGTTCATAAAACAAACGAGAGACTCGTAAATGGGGAAATTTGAATTAACATGAAGAGCAGGATTGCCTTTTTATAATCATACTCGTAGTGCACCATTGATCTAAGTTATTTCCAGTTATTATGTGAATTTATATATCATTAAAATAAAACGTGATATTTATACCTAACAAAACAAATACAATGTACGATATTTTTTATGGGTTACCTACACCATATCGAATTACAAATGATCGAAAATGTAAATATCGAACACGTTTCATCGAACGATTAAAATATCGAATGATTAAAATATCGAAAAATCAATATAGAGGTTTTAATTAAATGTCATACGATTAATGTAAATAAAACATAAATTCTTAAACATAATAATAATTTTATTTATTTCCCACTTTTGGGATGGCGTGGCAATGTGGCCAGCCTTTTGGGCACCTTCCCCCAAGGGAGCGACTTAGATGAAATTTTTTATTTATAAAGCTTGTACATATTATTTAAATTTTTACCCTTTTTTTATTTAGTTAAGTAGTTATTTGTTAACATTTAGTTGTATATATGTATAGAATATTGTTAGATTTGAATAAAAATAGAGTGAAAACTTTTGGGTACCATAGTCAACAAGGAACCCTTACCTCCATCTTTCTATTATACTATGCAACGTAAGATCGATTTTCGATATTTTAATCATTCGATATTTTGATCGTTCGATCATTTGTAAATTCGATATTCTGAACGTTCGATATTTTGAGCATTCGATATTTTGATCGTTCGATGTTCTGATCGTTCGATGAAACGTGTTCGATATTTTGATTTTCGATCATTTGTAATTTGACAACCCATTTTTTATAGGTTAATAAAACACGTAATCCCTATTTATTACGAAAGCTTTTTCTCCTTTATTTATGGGCATTGGGAAATAATTAAGCTTCAAGATTAATCATTGACTTCATTGGAGAGTACTTTGACGCAGGGTTCGAAAATATCCTTATGATGTATATCCGATATATATCATAAATATCGGATATTTTCGAACCCTGCTTTGACGTGACAACTTTTAGTCGCCACGTCAAAGTACTCTCCAATGAAGTCATTTACTTAATGGCAGAGTTGATAGCAATTAGATCCAAGTTTGAACTTATTGTCTGTCCATCACCACAACACAGGGCTCGCAAGGGCGGAGTGTGTGTGTATGCGTAAGTATGAAATATGAATTGATTTTTTTAATCAAGTAAGTAGTAGGTACTTATTGGTTTTACTAAAATGTTACGTGTCTAGTCACTTCTACCGCTTGGTAACTAACACAAACAACTTTTATTATGATAACAAACATTTAAATCGCAAAAGTATTTTATTTTTTTAAATAGGTACCTAAGATATAATAATATGCAACTGTATTACTGTACTGTAGTGTGTTCCATCCGATTAACAATAGGGTAAAAGGTAAATGTGTACAGTAATTGTGTTGT